CCACCCACACAGCGTACGACTTTATTTCAGCTATGTTTTACGTTCCGCTGTGACAAACGTTGCTTGCGCATCTCAGCAGCATCGTTCCTAGGGCAATGGACGTGAAATACTAAGCTCTGTGTTCCATCCCAACTAAGGCTATCTGCTCCTGACGAGGCCAAACAAGGATGAAGCCGCAGTTGTGTTGTGCCAATGTTGGAAAGAGCAACCCCCAAGTATTTCCATTCATGATACAGTCCCCAAGATGGAATTAATCGAGGTTTCGCTCAAAGTGAACCGAAGCCTCCAAAAAGGTTGCGAATCCCAACCCAACCACACAGCGTGCTCTCAATCTTCAGCTTTGAATTACTTTCCGCTGTGCCAAGCGTTGTTTCGGCATACAAATAGCCTGGTCCCCAGGGCAGTATCCGTGAACTACTAAGCTGTGAATTCCAACCGAATTCAGGCTATCTTCACCTGACGAGTTCAAACCAGGATGAAACCACGGTCGTGGTGTGCCAGTGATTGGAAGAGCAACACCCAGGTGTTTCCAATCAGGATACGGTCCTCAAGAACCGATGGACTGAGGTTTATCTCAAAGTGAACCGAGGTCTCAATAGAGGTTGCGAGTCGCTATACAACCACACAGCGTGCTTCCTAAATTCAGCTACGAATTCCTTTGCGCTGTGTCAAGCGTTGCTCTCGCATCTCAGTAGCATAGTTTTCAAGGCGCCAGCCTTGAATTACTAGGCTCTGAGTTCCATCCCAGCTCAGGTAATCTCCACCTGATGAGCCCAAACCAAGTTGAAACCGTGGTTGTTGTGTGCCAGTGTTGGGAATTGCAAAACCTATGTATTTCCAATCAGAACACAACTTCAACGGACGTTGGATTGAGTTCAGTTTAGCTTCGGTGCCGTCGAATTTCTGGAGCGCTGATGCCGGTATCTTCAACACTTTGCGCCCTGTTTCGCCTCTGCATGAATGTCCACTGAACCATTTGAGTAGTTGCTTGATTACCCAGGCACGTACTACGGCTGCGGTGCACGGATGCTACCTGAACTAACATTGGGGAGGAAGTGCATGTTTAATCTTCATTTGATGGTCAGGAGCGGTGGAATTACGCTGTGATGGCTGCGGTCGTTGCAAGGCCATACGAAGTAAATTTTGGAGGCAAACTCTCAGAAGAAATCGAGTGCATTTGAGATAACACCGCAGACAACAACGAAGACTGGGAGTGGAGCGCCTGACGGCGTGTGGCAAGGAGAGCTTGGCCGCAGATACGGCGACAACGACGCGGAGTGGCAGAGCGTACGGGATATATAGCAATATGCATGTAAAGAACACGAAAATAGGGCGGATTTGTCTTGGGTGTCATAACAGAGGGAACGGACGGGACAACCAAGCCAATGAGATTGTCAATTAGAGGCGGGCATGACTTATTTAACTGTTGGACATGGACTGGCCGGTATTCATGTGATTTATTCATCCTTTGTTTAGCTGAGTCAAAGGAAGAATTTCAATGTCTCAGGAGAGTGGTTGTTAATGGACGTGAACGCGTAACCTATATTGTGGAGTGACTTGGCAAAGGTTCTGTACTTTTCGCCGAGTTAGCTTTTCCGAATAAACCTTATTCCCTGAGGAACTGAGTTATACAACTTGACCGACGACCGGAACTGTCGCGGACGGAGCCACTATACGTTTTACGGGGCATCATGAGCTCCCACTTCTCTGGACGTACACGAAATCCAAATGGATCTATCCTGGAGAAAACTTCATTCAGGTAGGTGTAATTGTCTTCTGCGGGGGGAGCTTACCAGGATTACGTCATTCAGGTACGTCAGAGCACACTGCAATCCAGTTAGTATAGCGTACATCACTGGTTGAAATATGGTTGGAGCGCATTAGACCCCCAAGTTTAACCGACTGTAACAATACAAGCCTCGAAATGTATTGATACTGTTCAGTTCTCTTGAGCTCCCCTCCAGTACTCCTTGCAGGTACGCATCATAAAGATCAGTTTTATAAAACATCTTACCCTCATTATGTTCGGTGAATAAATCTTTCAGAACATTAAGAGACATTGATGGGTTTCCAATACGATATGTAATCCGTAGAAAAATCTTCACAAATATGCAAATTGCCATTAACATTTCTGATGAGCGGCCCACGCTGAGTAGATCACAGAACTGATGACAACCATGAACTACGACTGACAATTTCGGCATCCACTGCCTCGACAGCAGCGTATGGTATTTGTCGCTTTGGACAAAATACTGGGCGTACACTGGCACGCGAATGCAACACATCTTTTAGCCTAGAACATATTCCAAGACCCTCTGTAAAAGCATTGGGGTACTTATCCGCAAAATGTGATAAATCTTCTGCACACTCTTTAAAGTTACTGGTGCAACCGAATACTGAAACGCGGTGGGGCACAGTGAAAAGCTATCTGAGTTATCACAGATACAGTCCAATGGTATGTTCTATAAATTAAGCTTGTCTAACCAATCAATGCAAAACAAGTTCAACGGTCCATAATGTGTAGCTTAACAGACCCCATTAGCATGCCAATTGCGAAGTGTAAAACCCACGCTTGAACTGTCTAAGAAAAGGTAATTCCGAACCGGAGGCGTCGTGAGCGACGCGACAAATTTGACCACATGTGAGTTAACCTACCTTGCTCCATGTCGACTCAGGTTATTATAATATCGGAAACAGTGGCCAATTGAATCCGGACAGAAACACCGTTTATCATAAACATAATATACTTATGTAAGTATGCTTATCCACTATTACAAATGTTTTAACGACTAAATTGGTCCACTGGCAGTGTGCCAATAATGCACCAGAGAGGACAGTATTCTGCGCGCATTGGATGCCGTTGAGCACTGAAACGCTCCGCGTTCGCTCTTACCACACTTGAGATGTGTTCAAGGCGGACGAGCTACGTGTTTCATGCCATATGTGAGATAAAATAAATCACAACAGTGCAACTTCCGTTTTATGCTCTCTACCAGTATATTTGGGGACGGAAGTTGTTTGCAGACCGTTATTTTGCGTCTTGTGGCTATTTTATGGAGGCCTTATCGTGTATCTTCACAAATTTGCCGTTAAATTAGGCACACAAATTGGCCAACTACCGATCTGCAACCACTGCTCATTGCAACTACAACGCAATTCTTTCGTCGACCTCTTGGTCGCTCGTGTTGTGAACGCTAATTATTTTCCACTAAAACGGTAGGGGTCGCTGTCGAGAAGGTTGCACTGCTTTCTTTTACCATGGCGACAAGCTTGTTTGTCCAATGATACCTAACTCTATAAAGAAGTGGCTTTTCCTATTTCTGAACTATGCTGCTGCAATACCGGGCCCTCTGAGCATTGAAACCAGCTTCGGGATGGCGAGAGCCATCGATTAATCCATAACACCTGGCGGGGCAAATTGCTGTCATGTGCGCACATTCACGACTCCCTTGTCATTGCCCGTTTCACGTCGGCTAAGCCGATGTGGCTGGGCAGCGTGCACCAACAAACCCAAAGTCATGTCCTCCTTGAGTCCTGGAACTCCGTCACTGGCTTGAGGCCGATTCACGCGTCCAATCATGGCACACTATGTTCAGGGGCGTTGTTTACTGAGACTCCAGCTGCATCGTAGGCGTCGAGTAAGGAGAGAGTTAAACGATTGTCCTAACAGACTATTGCGTAGGCTGTGTGCGCCTCACTCACTCACAGGTCAGTCCCACAGTTAGTTAACTTGTCTGTCCTCCATGAGCGCAGTTTATTCTGTACTCGTGAATGTGTGTAGCTAACTTATCTTCCCCTCGTTCCACTGGCTAATGTTGCCTGCGTGTCACTTGGAGAGTTGTTCCGCTTGCACTCAGCGCATTCTTGACCTAAACCGCTGATCTGCAGAGCACATCATAAGTCCTTGGTCTGCAAGCGCGCACTTGACGCAGCCACGCTTAGTTGCACTTTTTGGGCCAGAAATTGGATGGCGTGGGCAACGATACCAAATAACGGGTTCACCATAGGCGCGCATCGCTGCGGCATGAAACGTGCTACTGATGCCTGGATTACGCTAATTTGCCTAAAATATCGGACATACTGCATACTTGGCTGATTTGCCGTTGACCAAAACGAACCGTACGCATTTGTGTGCGTGTGCGTAAGTGGGATGAAGTTTACATGCGTTATGGAATTGGTCTATTAGTCTAGCGGAAATGAGTCCCTTACTGGTCAATTCCACTTCGCTCTGTATGCAAATTGCTGGAAATTCGTGTACGACATAGCTGACTTTGGCAGGTTACAGAAGCAACGAAGCACCTTACAGTTGCTGTGAGCGATGTATACATTCGGTTCTTCGGTTGATATGACATTAAGCGTTAGAAGGAAACTACGACGAACTATCTCTTAAAACCACCTGCTCAAGGTTTTCAGTATGACAACTTTTACGTGAGGGACCGTAAAGCATCCATGTAAACATTGTCATCACTATTGTTGGGAGGACAAGCTCCATGAGGGAAATGAATTAGGAGACTGGGTATATTCGCGCTTAAGTGTCGTTCCCGGTTCGGCTGGTAGTGGGTAGTCTAAATGAACGGTACCGATGCGGGACCAGCGGAGAGTAAGTCAATCAAATGTTACCCAAGCATGATGATCATATCTGGTGGGTGGGGTTAACAAAGCCAAACTGAAGCAGCCAGCTTGAACAAAACACAACGTGGTCCCGAGCGGATCGGGTAAAGGGTTGGACTGAATGTTGCGACCAGTGAGCTAATGCACATGATATAGGTTTGAGAACGCGAACTGGACAGCAAAACTCGGCGACCATGGAACTGTAATTAAACTTCGTGCCCGCTATAAATCATCTAATATTTTAGAAATACCAAAACTGCTATTGCTCAGCCTTTCTTTGGGTTCTCAGAAAGGTACAAAATAATTTGAGCGATTATATTGCATCCGATTGACCCAAAACGCCGCATATAGGCTGTCCAGTCCTGTTACAGGTGTGAATCTTAACTTACCCGATTGGGACCGCAGGTTGTTCCTTCCAGTAGTCCATGGCTTATTTTCGCATCACAGTGGTCGGGAATGCCAGAAACAGAACACCACAACTGCTGACAAATACTTTCCTCTATCTGTTGAATTAGAAAGTAGAAATGTGTGAGAGTGCTTACAGGAGCTTCATGTAAGTACATTACTCCAGCTTATGGGGACTATCACACAGTTGATTGCAAAGTTATATGGAATACCAGTGTCATGCTAGCACAACTCAACATCTGGTTATGTTGTGCGGAAGCTGGTTATTTCCCTTTTAGTGTCCCACAAATGATGCTTCATAAGCCGTCTTTTAATGCAGTTCTACCCATTGGTCCACACACAAGTTGTACGGGAGCCACTGTTCTAAAATATCAGTTTTTCACTCATGCAATAAATTTTTCGAGAGAACTAGTGTTCCATGTAGTATTCCGTTCAGAGATTGAGACGTATGTCACATTAACTTCCTTTAAAATTACACTAGTGAACGCTACGAACCACTGATAAAATGAAAATGCAACATAACAACCCTTGCGAACGCTGCATCGGAATTCTCCAACCAAAGCTACTGGAATGCATTGGCGGTACTGGTGTCGTGATGGACCCCAAAGACTTAGAAATACTTCTATTGATAGAGATGTGCCACGTACATTTTGAAATTATTTGATTCACACAAACCATCCCGCGGAAATTGTCAAGCCTTGGCTTTGATACAGTAATGGAGTAGCTCTACGTGGCTATGAAATCAAAAGCAACATAAATGCGCCTCGGATCTCATTCAAGTCCTAAATACAGCAAAGTTTAGTGACTCATTGTAGACACAAAACTGTTTCCAACTTCTATCTCCCAACTCTTTATTATGACATAAATAACAAATGCTCTACTGCAATGCAAGTCTGGATACCTGGAGCAACGGGTCATCGCTGGTATCGGATTCACGAACAACCCCGGAAGCAGAAGAAGTAATCAACAATGTACGCATCCAGCAGAACCCCAGTTCCGGTAGCCCCAAAGCATGCTTCAAAACGACAAGCGTACAAGTTTGTCGCCTCAGTACCTAGCGCATTTATTTAACTAGTAAACTGAGAGAAAAACCTTTATCACACAAAGAGCGGGTAGTATAAGGTTGTGAATGCCTGGCTGTATTGAATACACGTTAAGGTACAATACATTGGATAAGATCAGGTTAGTATCTGGCATAACATTGGAGTTTTCCAGCATAGCAAAAGAGTGGAAGAAGCATCAAAGCGCTACATTAACGTTTTACAAAGGCGACTGGACTATACTTTCCCATTTACATTATGTGACATAGCCCGTTTCCTTCGGAAGGCGAACTAACGCAAACTGTGTGCTCACTAGCTCACTCTACTAGCTAGCGGTGAGCAGACCAGCATATGTGTTCAGGTAAATAACTCGGTGAATCACTTTAAGCCAGAATTTTCCTCTTCTCTCAAATTTTCAACGATTATTTTATAATCGCATATAAGGTCATTTTAAGTGAGTTGTCAAGCAATCGCTCTTTTGCCCCTTCTAACTTACTGTTCCTTGTTCATCATATAGCAACCGGTAAGGAGGAAGGGGTTGCCAATGTGGATGGACAATGTGACGGTTGCTCGGATTGCGAGAAGTGGAGGCGAGAGTCAAGGAAGATGGTAGTCTAACAGTGAAAGTGTTAGTGCAAAAGTCGCTATCTGACGGTGAGCGGACAACACTTCCCTTAACTGAACGGATTGTACTGAAGGAACTATTGATCAACATCAGTGATAGTAAAGAAAAATGGAAATATATTACTTACGGTGGATGGACACGCAATAACATACAGAAGTAGTCCTGCGTAATCCGTCTAAACAATGTGCACTCGTTCATTTACGGATTTGTGGATCGTTAAAACAAAGTTACACACCTCGATGTCCGTATATAAACAAAAAAATGTAATAAAGCCAGAGAAAATGAAAATATGTAGTTCATCAGTAACTATAGAGTTAAAGGCGATTGATAGTGGCAATCTGTTCGTCCACTGTGGCTGCAAATCTGAAATATCTACTACATATAGATGGCCAATAACGAATTACGTCAGGTATTCAGGGATCCAGCGTTCAAGTTACGTCTGTAGGTTAGGAATGCAGTAAATCTTCGCTCGTGAATACAGATCAAGGTGGGTAGCTTAGTTTGATTATTCCCAATGAAGACTTTGGTAGACAGAAGCCATCCTTCACAGCATAGGGTAGTGGGAATTCTTGTTGTATGGAGTAGAGTGCGGCTGCAAGCTCTCAGATCGATCGAGAACTAGTAAAGAAGCCAATAATACACTTTATGCACCCACGAAGCGTGAAGATTCATTTAAAACGAATGACATTATGAAAAACACAAACTGCGATATTTATGAGAGCAGCTATTAGTTAAATTTTGCCGGGTACTTCGTTTTGACTTACCCTGGGACAGTGACGGCTATGTTTGGAGCCGGTTAGTACTTGACACTGTTGATCCAGAGTCCAGTGCCAACCGGGTGGTTCATTCAGTGTAAATTTGTTTATCTCTTTAGGGAAGTCCTCCAAGCACGAAAACTGTCGCTTACTAGAACAAGGGAAGTTGCGAATGTTGCGCAATATGGGATTGATGATGAAACTTAGCTAGTCGATTGTACATTTTCCCAGGGCTGTGAACGCAAAGTTTAGTCGGTCAACGGAGGCGACTGAGTGGGTTGTGCAACAGTCTTTTGGTAACAAGCAGTCTTTTGTCTTAAGGTCTATATCGCGTAGGGTGAGACAGTTTTAGCCATGATAGTGGCATAATATGCAAATTTTGGAACGGGAGGAATAGTATTCCTATATGGGACTGTTGAAGACAATCATCACCTCAACTCAGTTAGTGCACATTAGCTGCAACAATAGCAGTATTATGTCTTAGCACATCAACCTTTTAAAAAATATACATCTAGATGCACAAAATGGTAATCTCGATATAGTGTGTAATTACCCAACCGAATAACCACAATGCTGGTTATTCAACTCAGTTCGTCCACTCAATATTGCCTTTGTTGTCTTCAGCAATTAGGTAAATTAGTTATGGAAAGCAACCACAATTTGAACCGAAATTTACTTTACATTGGGCCTGGCTCAGTTTGGTTACTGAGACGGTTTGTGTTGCGGATAACTTGCCAAAAGTTGGGTTCGCGCGTGCGTTTCTAATGTACAGATAAGTAGACTGAGACACCGTTATGGGGTAACCTTGTACCATAAGGAGGTGCTAAAAGGTAGCGATTAAACTAGTCTGGAGAATTACATAGTACTGAAGCAACAACTGATCAATAGCTGATATAGTTATTTAATTAATCCCGTTCATTCAAGAGTCAAAATAAAGATGACAAGTGTCGAGTTAACCACTTTGTATGTCTGTTTATTTAGCAGGAATCGGTGATCACGGTCGCCTTAAAACTATCATCATGAGAATACGTGATTGTTTATTTTCCATCAAAACTGCAAGTCGCCTTGATGAAACTTCATCATAAGCATGCTGACACCTTCCTTTAAATTTGGTACCAATGCCTAAGCTTGTTGGGTCCTTCCAATGCCAATGACGAATGAGTAACAACCCTTGATGTTTGAAGATGCCTGGCGTCATTTGCTACTTGCAATCCTTTGTGCTAGTTTCGACTAGATGCTGTTACTATCATTGGGAAGGAATCGCCTCCAACCACTACACTCGTCAAAATCGCAGATACTGATTTGAAGCAGATAATTGTAAAACTTGGTGAAGAAAATAAGTAAATGTGACGCTGCTTTTGGACCCAATATTTGTTTCCACACTATCGAGTTGCACAAGAGTAATAGAAATAAATGACACAAAATGTATCCATGCATCATTTGATTGTCAAATGATCCGGAGAGATAATTAGCTACCTGATGCCAATTCTGTCATATTAAGTCGGACTACATACATCACTTTCTTAACTTATCGTTGTTGGTTTATTCCATGCATTTTCAGACGGTAAATATGTTCACACTCTAGAACTTATACATTTCCGGTAGCATTGTACGCACACGACCTATGCAAATTGATGCAAATATTTACTGGTTCGACTACATTATTTCCCATCACGGCTGTCTGGTGAGCAAAAGCGATATTGAGGCGTGAATTTCGAAGGGGATTTAGAATGCAAATATACCGGTCACGATGTGTGAAGGTTGGGTAAGTGACAACGCCCTTCCAAATTTATGCCGTGTACTTATTTATTTATAAAAAACACAGCAAAGGAAAACTAAAGCTTGCTTGGTTTGGGTATCCGAAAGAGGTTTTGTTGCGGTACAGTATCCAAATGCATACAACTCACTTCATGGCGACCCTCAGAGTTAGACGAGTGCAGTCACTCCAATGATAATTGTAACTGGTAGACAGAATCAACGGGGCCATAATATTCCCTGTCAGACCAGAACGATCGCAGCCATTCTTTTCTCCATCATGTTCCACTCCAAGGCTGAAATTTTTCAACGAATTCGGATTTCAGTTTTTCTGACATTGTCTTAGCAAATGCAATCAACATGCGCATTCTTATTCGCATCCCTACGCCGTATTGCGTGTCATGCGCAAGAATACTTCAAGATGTTTGCTACTAAGTGATAAATGTTAGCATAAGACCGCGGATCTGCTGGATACTTGCACTGGGTCAGCGGGATTTCACTAAAATATTGAAATTCCGAGCACAAATTATCCACCTGCATTAAACATCACTTGTTACTAACATTTTCATGTTTTTACTAGCATTCACTGATTTATCAACTTCCAGTCCTGTAGCGAACAATATTTTAAGGGTCCTTCTTGCGAGCTTAGGTTAAAATGGGGTATTCAGTCCAAAATGTTCAAGAAGCTTGGGATGGGTTCGTGCTAATGGTGCGATTATCCTCGTGTAAGCCGTAGTTTTGCGGATACGACATCAACGACTCAAGGTCCGCACGAAACGTGCGAATAACTAAAACCCTGGGATTAATGACAACGTCGAAATAGCGCGGAACCAACACACATTGTATTGGATGACACCGAAGTTGTGCGTGATTGATAAGTGTGCAATTGCAACGCAATACACATTCAATTCTGTGGAATAGATGAAGCAAGCAATATTGACTGTTGAACCCTGAGGATGTTATCACTCTTGTCGGGGAATATTGGCACGAATATGGTAAATCCGGTCCAATCTTGAAGCAGTAGATGATAGTCTCCACCAACTAACAAGCAGCAGTGTTATCGACGAGAGGGCACATATTAAAATCAAAGTTACTCTTATTTATGTATTATCTGTGAGGGTTAGGTAAGTGCCTTTTAAATGGGTAAACAAAAAGCAACACACAATGTTTTAAAGTAGGATACTCTTAATGGCAGAAAGCAACATAAGCAATTAGATCTTTAGATGAAGTCACTGTGGTCTACCGTTTCGAAAGATGTAGATCCAACCGAAATTACACGTGAATCCCGAATGCACATAAAAGTAAGCGTTGTGGAATGTGACGAAGGGGGAGAGGCGCTTACAAATATATGACCAGAGGTATATGATAATAGAGGCAGCATGAGTACTTTAGGTGAAAAAGTTAGAATTTGGATTCAGTGGGCGCATGCAGGGTTGCCAGTGACTTAGTGTAATATCGCACCAAAAAGCGACTCTAAACACTGGAGTTGCTTATTTCGCATTTTATTTACAAGCGGAGGCTGTGTACGAAATCGACGAGGAAATTGTCAATACTATTAGCCCCGTCTTCAAATGGCCACAGTGAATTTGCACATATCGATCAGCATCGGTGGTCCCTGCGCACCGATGAATCCGGTCGGCAGACGTGTGAACTAACGAATAAGTCGTATTACTCGTGAGTAGCAGTTTATTGGTTATGTGAAAGTTTCCATCCAAGTAGTTCACAAGCTACACAGCACAGTCAAGTCCGCCCTATTGGCGCTTGGCAGTAGTGCCTCTCCTAGTTTCAAATGCTATGGATATAGCGCCTAGCAAGAGGACGTCACGGTCTCGCAGGTTAACAGCTCTCATTGACAGTGGAAGACAAATCGTGCTATTTCGCAGTTAGGTGGCCCAGTTAGCTAGCCCAACCAACGTCCCTCATGGCTTAGTGACTTAAGCTGATGGCTAGTTAGTATCCGCTTCTAGCGGTCATTGGCTTGATCTCCATTAGGGGACCGAGGGAATGCGCACCACTGATGAGCCCAGATAGAGCGAAAGGGGTCTGGTGCTTTTTCGAACTAGGCTGTGCTATGTAACTTGTGAACAACTGGGATGAAAACGTTAAAACAAGTGGTATACCTCTCGACTTTGTGAGAAGCTGCTCCCAAACAGGAGGAAATTCAATAGATTAGCTTTTAAGGCTCATAGACCATGTTAGATAAATATATCCAAGTGCGGAATTTAAGAGGAATAGAGCAGAAGCGTCAAAATAATGAAAGTACGTCGGTATGCTTGCATTATTCCATGACAACGCAGCTCGTTTTCCTTAAGTCCAACTGAAGAAAGAACCTTAATCTGGGTAGACGGTTTTAACTGAACTGCATACGTGATGAGGCATCAACTAATGCAGGAGCTCAGAAAGGTTTGGAAATAATCGGTTGGTGTCTGGAGGATCATTTTGTCGCCCTTCTCGTGTAAATGGATTGCAACGCGTAATCTTAATGTGGACCGCGATTTGCATTGAATTGAAACTGGAACATTTCGATTATTGGGACCGTAAATGATGAAGCGGTTGGATATTGGGTGTTAGCCGCTAGAAAACGCTGCACCCCACTACTGGTCTCGAACTTGTCTGATGTCATCTGGTAGTCGTAGCAGCAGCCATCAACCCGGGTCCACTTGGATGTTAGTTATAACAAATACCCCGTTGGCTACCGAGCCATGGTAGTTTGCTTTAAGGTTCTCTGATCGATCGAAGTTACTTGACAGTTTTCCAACACTGAGTTCGTGCTGAGAGAATCATCCCGTCTTCAACAGCAGATATCTTAAGAGAAATTTGAGCATCAACTCTCTCGCTATAAAACACCAACACACTAGGTGCGCTTCCGAAAGCATGGTATACAATGATTCCAACACCTGTTTGTGACAGTGGATATACATAGCGTTCAAACCTTGAGGCGAGGTCCGCTTAGGTACAAATGGACTGAGCCACTTGACTACAAATGAATTTTCATCAAGGTTTGGGAAGTTACAATGAAAGAAGGGCTCAATTCAAAGGAAAGATATATTTGCAAGTCCAAGGCTCTAATGTCTGTGCCTTCTGAGACCGCCTGCACTACTGACAGGCCTGGAACTAGCAGTAATTGTTATAATGTAGATAACATATCAGCTCGCGTTTCGAATGAAGCGGAGTGCAGCTTGTGGGAAAGTGGTTTGACCTGAACTATCAAGAAGTCTAAGACATTCACAGATGGTTCCAAATATTGCGAATGCCGTAACACATAACCCACTGTGCATGCGGAGAATATTTGTGTGCTGTAAGTCACTAACGCTAATGTTCAGCAACGGGATCAGCCAAATTCAGTAGTAAATGGACGTATAGCATTGACGCTTTTGAGCAATGGTTGCAATATTTTATTCACAAAGGCTGAAACGGATAACTGCTGGTTGTAATTAATAAGTCAGCATATGTGGAAACAATGGAGCAGCAGCTGGAGACGGGTCGACATATATTAATTGACGAAATCGATAGGAGTAAGACGGAGCTTAGTAAGTATTTAAGAATCGCGGAGAACGATCTGGGAGTGCGTTAATGCTACTGTCTATACCCGAAATCGAGTATAACTCCGAGGGCTTATGGACTGCCAAGATACCTGAACCTGACGTACCCGTACGGACAACAGTCTATCATCAAGACTCATGGAACGATTAACTTTTAGATAGTTGGCAGGGTTATTTCAACCTGTGAAAGGCCAGACGAATGCATTGGTGAAGAGCTCTTACCAGTCCGAATATGTCGGGGCTTACCAAACAGATGGAAGAACTGATGAAAAAAGTTGACTTAAATGCACATTATCTAATGTAACCAAGAGAAAGGCGGTGGCATTGCAAGATAACGTCTGAATGAAGATAGCACACTGGTTGATCGACGGATCAAATAGTCGAAGGTATGACATTTCTAAAGTTCATAAGAAAGGCAGCACAATATGCCCACCCTTGGACTTGGTGGGTTCCCCCAGCATTTGTTGGCTCAGTGAATGGTAAATAAGTTGCAACCATTACGGAATATGGTGCGCAATTTCTGCGCTTGAAATTTTTTCATTTACTCAGAAGATAGAAAAAACTTGACCTAGCCGATGAAAGGATGAAATCATCTGGTGCCCAGTCGTTGTTCAAAAACATTTCGCTGCTCGAAACTGTACAGTACGTGTGTTAATTGGTCCGGCAGCTTCATCTTTAAATAACCTTGCTAGTAACCTTACTCAAAGACATATTACTTCGGTAAATATGAAAAGCTCAATTCACCTTCAACCGTTAAATTTATTTTCAGATAAACGCGTTCTTCTCTGGGGTTCGTGCTAGCCGATATTTTAGGTCAAACTCGGAATATGGCCCACTTAGAACTCACCTTGGCGAAACCGAAATGTAGATAAGTTATGTTGATAACATCTTCATACTGCACGACTAGAAAAGACACGTGGTGTAGTTACTGAAAGCTTTTAATTATGCTCACGCGAAGGTCCACTTCACCTGCGAGCATGTGTTCGGAAACCTTCGACCTTTTCTGTATGTGGACGCTATTCGTAACTCTTACGGATCTCCCAGTAGAAGGGCTCACAGAAAGCATACATGAACTGGACAAACCACGAATATCTATAGCGCAGTGCCGTTACAGTATAGAGGAAGTTTGGTTTTATTTCTCATCTTTAGGGTTGGCAGTGTTCGCACACCATACACCGTCAAAGAAGAATTACAGAGAATCAACGGCGCCCTGAATAACGTAACCATCCACACAGATCTATCTCGAAGAATCGGAGAGAACACAAATCAAAGCCACCTAAGAGCATTGCTCTTTCTGTACTTGCCATTTAAAGGAGATTCTGCTGCTGATACCATATTTAAACAATTACACGTTGCTGCTCAGAAAACCTGTTTCGCCGTCCGATTCAGGATTTCTCACTACTCGGAGGCGCCCGTCTCAGAGGATCAACTATTATATCCCTGCATGCTTCTACAAGGGCGAGGTAACAATCTCAAACAGCTCGCCTATGTCACACCTTAAGTTAAGCAACACAGCCACTTGGAGTGAATTCAAAGTCAAGGCTTCCCCAAGCATCTGCTGTCTATTGCCGAGGCCACATATATCCACCACTTAAAGCAAGAATAATGTGTACAAAAGCGGTACATGCGTCCATTACTACTACCTTGGACAAAAGCCAACATTACTTAACCGTCTGGTTGGCATCTGTGCTGATTACGCTGTATTGTCCAGCTTTATGCAATAGTTTCACTTGTTTACTTTGCCTACCATCTAT